GTAAATTAGTGACGGCTAATTCAGCCCTCGAGGAGCTTTGCGCGAAATTAAAAAAAAAAAAGACTAATTAGGAGCAGTGTAGTCAAAGTTTGATTACAGCTTCCTTAAGAAAAAGGCTGCCGTTTTTTTGGTTAATAAACGGAGTTTTGTTTTGTTTTAATAATTAGCTAGAAATATTTTACTTTGCGTAATTATCCAAATTAAACTTAAACCTAACGTTATGGACAATAAACAACTTCTCTTTACACCATTCGAAAAAAAAACAACAACAAAAAACGATCCATACGGTGGGGTCGTGCGTTATAAACGGTGGATGCTATTGACTGGCTTCTTGCCCTGTAGTCTACCCCCAGTGGCACAGCGGACTTACAACACTAGAATCCGGGTTTCGATACCCGTGGTGGGTAGAGCACAGATAGCCCATTGTGTAGCTTTATGCTTAATTACAAACAAACAAATAATCTTGCCCTGTAGTCCATCATTTTAAAATTAGGGACGGCTATGTGCAGATAGGCCTTTGCGTAGCTATAATCTTGCCCTGTAGTCCATCATTTTAAAATTAGGGACGGCTATGTACAGATAGGCCTTTGCGTAGCTATAATCTTGCCCTGTAGTCCATCATTTTAAAATTAGGGACGGCTATGTGCAGATAGGCCTTTGCGTAGCTATAATCTTGCCCTGTAGTCCATCATTTTAAAATTAGGGACGGCTATGTGCAGATAAGCCTTTGCGTAGCTATACGCGAATTTCAAAATAAACTTTTATATTTTAATTAAATGATAAGAGGATATTCGTTCACCGAACTGTGTGGCTTTACTCTTGCTTTTATAGAGTTGTGTCTTATTGTAATTTATATAAAGTATTTACTGTTTCGGAAACTTTAAGGTACGTCAATGTTTGCAGTCTCTAAAAATTGTTTTTACCACGACCTTTATATAGAAAAGAATGGATATTAAATGTTAAAATAAAATAAATATTCCGAAAACATATTTGAAGAGTTGAAAAACCGTTGTTTTATTAATTTGGGTAGAAAACAACATCAAGAGTCGTTTTTCAGCTTTTACTGATATCCTGAAGAATATCCGTCATGAAGGTAACACAACGGCCATGTCGGAGTACGAGTCTTCAGTAGACCTGACATTGAAATCCGTACTTCCACAACAGACTACACCCTTCTACAGATACAGTGGCTCTTTAACCACGCCCCCTTGCAGTGAAGTGATTTTGTGGACAGTACTTGCAGATCCGGTGAAAATTGGCAAAACAGAGGTTTGCTATTTTGATTGTCTTGCTCTGTCGTACTTACATTTAGTATTTTAGTAAAATAGACCCAGTATTAATTTTCTAACGACTTTATTCATTTATATAGGGCCTATTGGCGGTTGCACTGTATGTAGGGGCAATATCAATGTTGCCGAAATTATAGTATTGTTATGGCGTGTATCCTTTTTTTTTTACAAGTCGGCGAAGAATGATTAGAATTATGTTTGTCATAAGATATTAGTTGAAGGATATTTTACATTTTTAAACACTACATTCATTATCTAATCACTTAGGGATTTGTAGTCAATGAAAAGAGTGTATAATAATAATAATAACGTTTCCACCCAATTATATTTGTCATATCCATTGCTGACACGCGTTTCGCTCAATCCTGAATTGTTTAGAATTAAGCACAAAGCTACACAATGGGTTATCTGTGCTCTGCTCACCACGGGTATCGAAACCCAGTTTCTAGCGTTGTAAGCCCGCAGATATACCACTGTGCTCAATCCAGAACTCTTCAGATAAATAATGTTGTGTTTAAAAATGTAATAAGCCCACTACTGATGTCTTATGACAACTGTATTTGAAATTACAGTATTCTCAGTATTTCTCAATAAATATAGTTACGAGTTTTCTCTTATTTTTTTCTTTCTTCTTTGAAGAGTCAGTAATAAAGATAACTGCACGAAATGTAACAATTAAGCCAAGTTTTATATGACGTACCAGCCTGATTAAGGAAAACGTGTTAAAGTCGTTGTTAAATTCCATAAGTGCACAAAACACTATTGTATTTTAGCTATGTGTGATTGTCTTTTTCAAAGTTAAAGTGATGTCAGGATTGTAATAAGCAAAAGTTAGTTTTCGTCACCTACATGAAACTAATATCTATCTCTGATTTTTAAAGAACACAAATTAATGGGATGTTTGAATTCGTTTATCAACAGTTCTAGGTATTGTTTACATGTAATATGATAAATTACTACTTATCAAAACTGAAACCTGTTTCACATTACATGTAAAAAATAGTTAGAACTATTGATAAATTACTACTTATCAAAACTGAAACCTGTTTCATATTACATGAAAACAATACCTATAGCTGTTGATAAATTACTACTTATCAAAACTGAAACATATTTCATATTACATGTAAACAATACCTAGAACTGTTGATAAGTTACTACTTATCAAAACCTGAAACATGTTTCATATTACATGTAAACAATACCTAGAACTGTTGATAAATTACTACTTATCAAAACTGAAACCTGTTTCACATTACATGTAAAAAACAGTTAGAACTATTGATAAATTACTACTTATCAAAACTGAAACCTGTTTCATATTACATGAAAACAATACCTAGAACTGTTGAGAAATTACTACTTATCAAAACTGAAACCTATTTCATATTACATGTAAACAATACCTAGAACTGTTTATAAATTACTACTTATCAAAACTGAAAATTGTTTTCACAATTATGGTTACAGTTTTATTCTGGAAATATATGTAATAAAGCCTCGTCAAAATAATCTTTACTAAATTCAACTATGCCTGATATTCGCTTTTATATATTTAAACAGAGCATGAGTACGTTATATTAAAACAATTTTGAGCCTTGACATGTTGTTACAGTCCATTTCGCTACGTCCAATCATGCTTTATCTGTCAAACGTGCTCTTGACTATAGTCCTGCATCGTAGTTTCTGTTACAAAAGGCTCTGTCGTAAGGCTGTCATGTCCAAATAACACCACCCCCCTGCTTGTGTTCCTTAGTTCATCTAGTGTACGAAGATGACAGTGTTCTAGTCCCGTTTCAACAGTCCAATCACACAGAAATTCATATGCACTGAAGCTAATGACTTAACTGTTATGTCTTTGTAAGGAATACCATGAATACCTGTTTCACTGTCCAGCTTCTTAAGGTATGTAACGGTTAAATGGGAGGTATGACTGGAAGCCTTATTTTGGCGAATCCATTCCCCGTTGGCCTCGTTTCCAGATAGTGAACGTTCTTGATTATGTTGCATACTATTGCCTGGGGTAAGTGGACGGCTTTTCCCACTGACCTTTGTATCTCTTGGTTTTTACCTGTTACAAGATGCTTCACTTTGCTTACTATGACTGGGGTACGACTTGTTACAGGTCTCTTTCTGTGTGGTCCTGTGCTCATTCCGACGCAAAATATTCTTACACTCAGATCAAAAATATGTGTTCTTGCCTGATATTTCGAACTGACCTGCCCCCCAGTGGTACAGCGGTATGTCTGCGGACTTACAACGCTAGAATCCGGGTTTCGATACCCGTGGTGGGCAGAGCACAGATAGCCCTTGTGTAGCTTTGTGCATAATTAAAAACAAAAAACAAACGAACTGACCTTGTAGTTCATAGCATTAGAAAAGATAAGGAACGTACATCAACTTGGAGAGGTAAACTTTATGATTTACACGTTAACAATGGAGGTTCGATACCCGTGGTAGGCACAACTCATTATGTACCTTTGCGCTTAAACACAAACAAACTCGATATATCAAAGCTGTTTTGAAGACTTACTGACAGTTTTGAAAAGAATAGCGATTGAGAAAACTACGAGAAACTAAAAGCTGTGATCTTACGTTTAGAAGTAGTAGTCTTCATTCAAGAATGTCAAATAAATTAACAAAGACCGGATCTAATGTATTTAAAAGTAACTTGCATGTTAATTACAGCCTTTACAAATAACACTTTTTTTTTAAAAACTCTTATGTATACATTACTAACAAGGATGACTAATTCCTTTTTCAAACAATACAAGTTATTACATATGGCCACTTTTGTATGTACTTACAACTAACACAAAGGACACACAAAAAACGAAACTATCGGACATGAGCGAAATCCCCAGGTTACCGGAAACCTGAACTAACCGCTGGTTCAACTTCCTGATAGGTCGAAAGTTATCTACCAAACTACTTTCGTTTTGACCTTCTCCTGTCTTTAGCCTTCGAAATTCTTCTATCTGGAACAAAAATTATTTAGTTTCAAGGCACGCAATGATGAAAAAGTTTAACCTATATTCATTTCAATAGTTTATATTTTATTAACGAGAAAGAGGCTTTAAAATGTTTCATCAAGTTAGAATTACAAGCTGTTTGTCTTTTTTCATGTTAGACCTACTTTATATTCTTTGAAGCATTAATATTGTCTCGTGAGGTATGGTACATAGGAAGGAGTACGTTATATTAAAATAATTTTGAATATGTAAATATGACAACCACAGCCGAAATAAAGTCGCGAAACGGAACGTAACAAAACCATATTTTGACATTGTTTGGCGTTCATGGGTAGTGTGATGTCACCAAAAATTTATTCTTTTTAAGAAGAGTATAAAACAGGCTGAACCACTGGGGGCTCTTGAATGTGCTAAGCATTTAGATTATGACTTGTTTCAGATGTTCGCCCAGGGCTTACACAGTATCTGCGCTAATTATACACAGTTTCTATGATATCGTTGTTCATGATGACCTTGAACTCAATTCCCATTATTCGATTAGAATTGCCCACGGGTTGGCGGTGGGTGATGTTGAATAGCTGTCTTTCCTCTTGTCTATCAGCCCCAAAATATGGATGGCTTATGCCGATACTTCTTATGCAGCTTTGCCCGAATATCCGAAAGGAAGCAAACAAACTATTCAATATATGTCTCTAATGGTTTGTTTGTTTGTTTTGAATTTCGCGCAAAGCTACACGAGGGCTATCTGCGCTAGACGTCCCTAACTTAGCAGTGCAAGACTAGAGGGAAGGCAGCTAGTCATCACCACCCACCGCCAACTCTTGGGCTACTCTTTTGCCAACGAATAGTGGGATTGACCGTCACATTATGAGGCCCCCACGGCTGAAAGGGCGAGCAAGTTTGGTGGGACGGGGATTCGAACCCGCGACCCTCAGATTGCGAGTCGAGCGCCCTAACCACAAGACAGTGAATAATTTGTTTACAAAGCTACCCGAAGCCTATCTGCGCTGGCCGTCCATAATTTTGAAGTGATTGACTAGAGGGAAGGCAGCTAGTCAACAACATCCACCCCCTTTTCTTGGGCTATGGTTTGCTACATTGTAACGCCTCAACAGCTGAAAGGGCGAACATGTTCGGCGATGGGTTTCGATCTCGAAACCAGAATATTGCAAATCGAACGCCCTAACCACCAGAACATGCCAGGTCAACAGTGAAAAGAATATTCACATAATAAATTCACGTTTTAACATAGAAAACAGTATCGAAATGGTATGAAAAGTTGAAAGGTACAGTTTTAGTGTAATAAACCAAAACATCGTTTCTCTATTTACACATTAAATCACTGGTAAAGAGAAACAGAGAATAAATTAAAGGTGTGTGGGGGATCTCAGGTACTCAATCCCAAAGCAATTGGAGCCCGGCTAACACTTATCGTTCGCGACCAGTTTTTGGCATGGTGGTAATTATTCCTTTATACCTACTCTGGAAGATAAATATTAACTTCAACATTACGATTAGTTTAAACACCGATGTAACAATATGTTACAGAACATGTATTAGCAAATGTAATGAACTATGCATTCTTCCAATATAGATTAGCAATATAATCAATCAGTCTCCATTCATACAAGGTGCATTCCTCCAATATAGGTTAGCAATGTAATCAACCAGTGTCCATTCATACAAGGTGCATTCCTCCAATATAGGTTAGCAATATAATCAACCAGTCTCCATTCCTCCAATATACGTTAGCAATATAATCAACCAGTCTCCATTCATACAAGGTGCATTCCTCCAATATAGGTTAGCAATATAATCAACCAGTCTCCATTCCTCCAATATACGTTAGCAATATAATCAACCAGTCTCCATTCACACAAGGCCTGGCTCGACTCGCAATCTGAGGGTCGAGGGTTCGAATTCCCGTCACCGAACATGCTCGCCGACCTTTCAGTCGTGCGGGCGTTATAATGTTGCGGTCGATCCCACTGTTCGTTGGCAAAAGAGTTGGCGGTGGGTGTTGTTGTCTTCTAGTCTATCACTGCTAAATTAGCGAGGT